ACACACACACATATATATATATATATATATATATATATATATATATATATATTTGTGTGTCTACGATTAAGAAAAATATTGGTTTCATGTGGTTGGAAAAATCTTTGTAATATCTTTAGTATAAAAAAATATTGTGGTGTAATCATTAGATTAAAAAAGTGATTTTCCTATTTTAAACATTATTTAATTTATTTCTTCTTCTTATTATTATTATTATTTTACAAATATCATGAAATATTTATTCATAAATATCATTATTTTTTCAGGGAGTTGAACCACATGATAATTTACAACATTGACAAGCTGTGCCTTGTCATAAAATGGTCAAATTTTCTAATATTCCAAGGGTCCTCTTTATTATTATTTTTTATTTTACTAAAATTAGCTCATATTAACTTATCATAAATTAACAGACAGGACAAAAAGTTAGCACTGTTATATTGACCCACTTGTCAAAATTAGGATTACAACAAATAGGTTGCACCAGGAAAAAAAAGTTAGAAATTGTTGTTTTACCATATCGGTCAAACTCTTTAAGCACAGGCTCTTTGCCTCATGACTACCAGCACCACTTTTCATCTTGGGTGGAAAAACATTGCTGTGGTATCATGATCATCTCTTTGGTACAGATGAGACATATTTGCCGTTGCTGATAAGTTTACGTAACTGCATAAAGAACGCATGGAAGGTAATTCACCCATTTTTACATGCTTTCCCAGACAACAACTGAAAATTCTTGCAGTGACCAATAGCAACGGCTATTTTAAGTTAGATTGAGCACATCAAGATATATGAAAGGACTTGTGATATTGTCACACAAGTCAAGGTTGAACAACATGAGAAATGTTCAAAAGAAACGGCATTTAACTGCTTACCTTGCCATCTCACCATGACGCAGACCAATATGCATGAACCGGTAGCTACAATATGGCCAAATTCACACAGTGCAGTTTCAGAAGTGATAACTGCATTTAAATAGGGGAATGAATCCCCAAAATTACATTTTCCAATTGCAATAATCGACACCATTGTAACCAAAGCAAAGTAATGCAGTCTCGTGAGTTTGGTATAGCTGCTATTTTTGACCAAAGTAATGCTACAGCGACCAAAGACTGTGATTTTAACTATACCACCATCTACAGAGCCGTCAGGTTTTGTTTATGTTTGGAAGGTTGCTTTACAAAGCGGGTTCTTAACAGGGTTGCCATGTCCACTTATTATAAGCAATGCTTCTTTGGCATCTTTGGACTTGTTTGTTCAGCTCATTTAGCATTTTATTTTATGTGGATAATAAAGTAGGCAGGTGCAGGTTGCAATATGTTGGTATGTGGTTTATTTCTTCTAAGATAACATAGGCTTGTTATTATTTTCCATTTTTAAAAGCAAGATCTGGCAACACTGAGTCAAGACATACCTCCTCTACCACAACTCTTACGCTTTTACGCCATTAACAACTAGCCGTTCATTTCAGTTCTGTACACCCTGCAGAATTTCTGCAAATATACATTTTCTGGGAGTGAAGTTGGTTGTAGAATCCGAATGCCACTCCCATAAATTACTGAACTGTGTGTGTACAGGATTAAGTGCAAAAAGGTGAACTGACAATCAAATTTAACCACAACAAATTTCAGTTATCATTTTGTTAATCATCGCAGTTTCAAGAGTGAGTTTTGTTCCGAAAATGCACAAAATGATAAATTAGTGGATTCACTACCGTATTTGAATTTGGTTGTCACTTCTGAAAGACGTGTACTTGGCCTTATCTAGTGTTGCAATGTCCAGGAACTGTGATATATTTACTTGTTCCCACAGATTGCTGGACTCTTTCATCATCAGTCTGAAATATCAGTTCCTATTCCCATCTGCCTTAATTACACAGACAGATGATTCACAGTTACAGCTTTCACTTTCCCTAGTCATCAAGCTTAAATCGCCACTGCAAACGAGACCATGCAAGAGACAAGCCATTTTGGTTAATTGGTACTCAGAGTCTCTAAATCACACAGCACAACAGAGCCATGCATATACCTCTCCGAGAGGCCAACAGCCTCCAAAATGGAGTCCTTAGATCTGTAGGGGTAAAACAGTTATTTTAATTGGGACCAAACTGTCAGCAAACTGTCACACATACCAGTGTGTGCTAAAATCATCTCTCTGAGTGGTTGAGAAACTGGATGGGTATTCATTTGGATGGGTATTTGTTGGTTTGTTTGGAAGGGGAGTGTGTGAGTTTGATGTTTGATTGGGTGTTTGTGTGGATGGATGGGTGGGTATTTGTTGCTTGTTTGGATGGGTGTTTGTTGTTTGTTTGAATGGGCGAGTGTTTGATGTTTGTTTGGATGGGTGTTTGCTGTTTGTTTGGATGGGCAGGTGTTCGTTTGTTTGGTTGGGTGCTTGTTTGTTTGAATGGGTGTTTGGTTGTTTGGGTGGATGTTTGTATGTATGGGAGTTTGTTTGTTGTTTGGATGGGTGTTTGTTTGTGAGGGTGCTTGTTGTCTGGATGGGTGTTTGTTTGGATAGGTGAGTGCTTGTTGTTTGTTTGGTTGGGTGGGTGTTTGTTGTCTGTATGGTTGAATGTTTGTTGTTTGTTTGGCTGGGTGAGTGTTTGTTGCTTGTCTGGATGGGTGTTTGTTTGGATGGGTGAGTGTTTGTTGTTTGTCTGGATGGGTGTTTGTTTGTTGTTTGGATGGGTGAGTGTTTGTTTGTTTGTGAGGGTGCTTGTTGTCTGGTTGGGTGTTTGTTTGGTTGTTTGGGTGGGTGTTTGTTGTTTGTTTGGATAGGTGAGTGCTTGTTGTTTGTTTGGTTGGGTGGGTGTTTGTTGTCTGTATGGGTGAATGTTTGTTGTTTGTTTGGCTGGGTGAGTGTTTGTTGCTTGTCTGGATGGGTGTTTGTTTGGATGGGTGAGTGTTTGTTGTTTGTCTGGATGGGTGAGTGTTTGTTGTTTGTCTGGATGGGTGAGTGTTTGTTGTTTGTCTGGATGGGTGAGTGTTTGTTGTTTGTCTGGATGGGTGAGTGTTTGTTGTTTGTCTGGATGGGTGAGTGTTTGTTGTTTGTCTGGATGGGTGAGTGTTTGTTGTTTGTCTGGATGGGTGAGTGTTTGTTGTTTGTCTGGATGGGTGAGTGTTTGTTGTTTGTCTGGATGGGTGAGTGTTTGTTGTTTGTCTGGATGGGTGAGTGTTTGTTGTTTGTCTGGATGGGTGAGTGTTTGTTGTTTGTCTGGATGGGTGAGTGTTTGTTGTTTGTCTGGATGGGTGAGTGTTTGTTGTTTGTCTGGATGGGTGAGTGTTTGTTGTTTGTCTGGATGGGTGTTTGTTTGTTGTTTGGATGGGTGAGTGTTTGTTTGTTTGTGAGGGTGCTTGTTGTCTGGATGGGTGTTTGTTTGGTTGTTTGGGTGGGTGTTTGTTGTTTGTTTGGATAGGTGAGTGCTTGTTGTTTGTTTGGTTGGGTG